TTTTTTTTTTTTTTTTTTTTTTTTTGGAATAGATCTGATTTATAAAAATAATTCACGCACCATCGAAGAAAGAAGAAGGCAGAAAAAAGAGGCTGGATCGTTGCCGCTGGCACACGAAGATCGCATTCTACGATTCTCTAACGATGTCAGTGAGTACTTGTTCCTCATCGTGGATGACTATGTTTATACCGGTGGTGAAACTCGCGTTTACGAGAACGGCCGCTATTCTCTCGCGTTAAACGTCTCGAAACGTTTCGAACCGTACGAATCGCCGTATGAATTACTGTCAGAAACCACCACCAGCACTATCGAACACCGTCACGACTGTCCCAAACAATAATTCGTCGTCCGATCAGCCGTAGTCTTTTGATCGCACCCTCGTTGCCATTGTCATTTATTTCACCATCCTCATAAACACAGTCATTTGTCGAGCATGGTTTTTTTTATCTTATCTCAAGTTTTATCTTCCTAACGAGGAATGTATGAATGTAGTAGAATACAATGGACAACATGACTGCCTTTTGGTATTGCACGAGCTGCTCGATGAATGACCGTTATCCGCTCCCTACAATTATCTTCTACAGAGATAATACTAATCTCTATAATACGTCTGTACCTTGAATTTGCCCTTGAAAATGTGCGTGCTGTTAGTCTTTTAGTTATTCACCGACTCGTTTATAAATTAACCATCTCTAAATAAACTGAATTACCTCCAAATAAAAGAAGCCTATCGCTTTTCAACAAAAATTTAATTTCAACCAATTCTAACGTTTACACAGCGTTTCCTTCTTACCTCCTTACGCTTAAGATGAAGAGATCCACCTGAGAGACCTAACAAAACAAACCTCATTTCGTATATATAGCTACGTAACCCTCCGACATATTTTCCTTTCTACAGGAGAGAACGGTCATTCACAGGGCAGACCCGACGGAACTGTACGCGTGGGCGCGTGATCGGTTGGCTATATGTGGGTGTGTAGAGGTGTGTCGGGCAGTCGAGGAGGGGTGGGGGAGGAGGGGGGGGGGAAGAAGAATTTACCCTGTGAGCCGGGGCGGCGCGGGAGCTCGCACCAATAGTAGATGGCTGTGCCGTCTGGTGTGACTCGATGCGGCGGAAGTGGATTGCCCGCGAAGCTGCCGGACAACGCTCGTCTTCGCCTCCTTCTGGGCAGGGTGGCGCTCTGTCTGTGCGTGGTCAGGTTACCTCGCATAATACGGGCGTTCGCGTTTTTATCTTTCATCTGCTCGTCGTTTTTGTTCTTGTTACGGCCGGTGTAGTACTCTTCGTGATCCGAGCCAGCCGAACGTAGACGTCGGCGACCGTCGGTCCGACGTACCCTGACCAATTCGTCGTCGCTGAGCCGCTGGTGGTCCTCGTCGTTCTCCAGATTGTTGATCCGCTCGTGATTGATCTGTCCGGTGCTGTACGGCCTTCGTTTCCGGTTATTGTCCTCCTCCTCCTCCTCCTCCTCCTCCTCCTCCTCGTATCCACCCAACGGCAGTTCCTCCTTGCCGTGCACTAAAATCGCGCCGGCGTCCAGCTTCTGTCTCACGTTGTCGTCCGTCAAGCAAGCCGCCGCTGGCACGAGTATCTCGCTACCCACTTCGATATGGTTGTGCTGGTGGTTGTTCTGGAGGCCTGCCACCACAGACAATTCGTTTTCCACATTGTGCGCGCGCTCGTGTCGCGTTTCCTTCACGACTCTATCGCCCCTTCGTCTCTGTCTTCGTATTGGAACGCGTTGAACGTGTGAGCACGCGGAGATCGCGTTGATTTCGCGCACGAGAGAGAGAGAGAGAGAGAGAGAACGCGAGAGACGAAGAACGACGATGATTCGTTTCGAACACGAAGGAGCGCACGCTCACCGTGTGTTTCGTGATAGGCCTCCTTGCGATTCGGCGAGTTCTCATTTTCGGTACGTTCCCACGAGTTACGTAGCTTTTGCTTGGGACGTGCTTGCTGCCTGCCGGGATGAAGAGGGGATCTTCGCCGCCTGACTTGAGGACTCTTTCGATTTCCTGGTGAGCCCCGGCCGCCCCAGCTGCTATCCTGTAGGTCGGCTACAAAGGAAAGAGCCGGAATGGCACGTGACACAGATTAGAGACAAGATATTTCTTTATCTTTTTTTTTTTTTTTTTTTTTGTTTCAAT